CACAAAGCTCTAACTAAAGCAGCCAACAAACATATTCCTTTCAAAAAAATCAGAACAATTAAAGAAATCCAAAATTCTCCATTACCCAAACAATTACCTCTTTTCTACAGATATAAACAAATCCAATTCTTTAAAAATCATTTTTACTCATCCAACTTCTTCAACTTACTTGACTAATATCTAACTCAATATCCTGAAAACTCACTTCAAACCAAATATCCAACTCATAACCAAATCAAAAATGAATTCCAACTTGTCAAATCTTCTCTTAATAATCAATACCAACAAAATCTATACAACGAAATTAAACAAAAAATAGAAAATCATAACAAAACCTTCACAGAAACACCCAAGCTATTCTACAAAAACATACTTAAAAAATACAATAACATTAATATCGACTGCCTTCTACTTAACAACACTCTACTAACAGAACACAATGAAATTCTAAATCAAATACACAATCACTTCTCAGAATACTATTCTGAAAAACCTTTATATCCAATCTTCTTTGATTTTTAACAATTATATCAACCACATCCTGAACTCGAATCTAACTACTATAAACTGCTTGAAACAATTACAGACCAGGAATGGTCTAAAGTAATTACTAATCTTCCAAACCAAAAAGCAGCAGGGCCCTCAGAAATTTGCTATTAACATATTAAACATGCTAGTCCTCTAGCACAAAACATTCTTAAATCTTTTATCAACAAATATCTCCAATTACAGAAAACTTCAACAGAATGGAAATCCTCAAACATCTTTCTAATTCCAAAAAAAGCTAATTGGGATTTTACACTTAACCAAATTCAATCTATATTCATTATTAAACCTTTTAAAAAGATCTTTACAAAAATTTTCACTAATCATCTAGACAAAATAATCTTATCAAATAACCTTTTCTCTAATCTAAACTTCACAGCATCAAAAAACTCCTCAACACACACTCCAATTCAAATTCTTTATAACACTATTGAACATTATATCTCTTAAAACAAAGAGGTATGGATATTGTTTCAAGACATGTCCAAAGCCTTTGATAGAATTAATATTAAATGGCTACAAGATGCTTGTCATAGAATTGGTATTCCTGCTCTTGGTATAAAACTAATAACTGAACTACACACCTTTCGACTAGCTATTTAAAATATATCAATTTATATTCGTAACTTTAATAAATAAACTTATAGAACTTATTCATATAAAATTAAAAATAAAAATTTAAAAAATAGAATTAATAATAATTAATTTGTATTTCTATTAATCCTAGTAATCTCTGGAACAAATATTGTAAGCATTCGTAAAAATTAGGTGGGTTAGTCGTGCCATAAAAATATCGTGGTCTCATGACAACTGACCTTTTCCAACTCGAAAATTCAGATTACAAATTGCATTAAAAATATTAGTAGTTTTTTAAATTTACATAATTCTAACTTTTAGTATTTTAAATGTAATGCGTTTTGAATTATTGCGTCGGAAGAGGTCGATGATCACGAGACTGCGACATTTTTATAGCACGACTAACCTATCTGCAAAAATTCACGACCTAACATAAAATAATTAATGCAAAAGACCAGCATATACATAAAGTCCTCCAATATCAATTTTATTATTTAAAATAAAATAAAAATATAATGCAACTTGAAGTAATATAGTAAAAAAATGGTTATTAATAATTTCGTCTACTTTATCAATTACGTATTTTATAATATCTTCCCAATATTTATATTCAGTTAATCTAAGTTCTGATTTATTTTTTTCTTTACGAAATTGAGAATCTTTTTCATTAGAATCATTACGCAAATCATATTTAAGTCTTAATAATTGTTCTCGAGAATCTCATTTTTTTTTATTCTCTTGTTTATATAATTCGAGTTTATACTGATTAAATTCATGATTCTTATCTCCTTCAGATAAAAAAGTCAACGTTGCTTTATCATTACTTAAGGAATTTATTATATTACTCTTAATTCTATATATAATTACAGTCAGATTCATTAGACTCATTATCTGATCCTTCTATCAAAGTTGAAGTTGAATTATTTGACTATTTGTAAAGAGAACAAGCCATTCACAAAATTTTTATTTAATTTATGTCAAGGATGATGCTGAAATTTAGAGTCCCCATTTAAATCTATAATACCTATATTTAAAAAAAAAAAATTTAGTAAATACTAAAATAAAATATTAAACTAGTCAGGTACTATGTTGCCTACTACTCCAAGTTCTGACTCAACACTTCCAAAAAGCCAGTAACAAACCTAACACTTGCCAAAAGGCCAGTTAACTGGGTCCTACTCTCTTGCCAAAGAACCAGTAAAGCCAAAACTACTTAGACACTCTTATCAAGCCAGCATAAAGCTGTTAATAGCGAACTAGACATCCTTGCACGTATGGATTCTGTGCCAGGTTATGTCGATTATTGCTGATCGTTTATCACATGATGATGTTCAGGTAACAAACTGTGCATAATTCAGATAGAACTTATTCTAACTTGCATATATAAGTATATTTTTTTAAAATACTAATATTATAATTAGTAAAGACTCAATACGTATATAATTTATAATTAGACATTTCAATACTAATATTCTTCAAGATTCAAATATCGGTATATTTGCATGTCAAAGAGTAAATAACAAAATAATCATGATTTTATTATTGATTTTGCATAGTAACTAATATTATAATATAATGGTATATATAATTATAATAGAAATTGCAAATATAAGAATAAATACATTACCGTATTGTTCAAAATTAAATTAGAATTGTAAAGCGCTTGAAATTATTAAATGCTTCTATCACCTGATTGTTAATGATTCTTAACAATAAATATATTTATACATATATATAAATTCTGTAATAAGCATTAATTTAAATATTTTTATATAAGAATGGTAATTATGTGCATTTAAGAAATAAAGAGCCTTTTTAATTTGTAGCTATAGTAACTTTGTAACATGTATTGTACTCTTATTATATTCACAAACTACAGGTTGTAATCACTATGTAGTAACACTTACATGTATTTAATCTGATGATAATAAATATATAGTTGTGTATGGCTTTATAATTGATTGAAATACTAATAACACAACACGAATACGTGTTATGAAATTACTATCACTATAGTTACAAACTAAAAAGACTCAAATTAAATTATTTTAAAATTTTAAAAGGAATCATTATCAATTACAAAATAATGTGTTCATTAAGGCATACAAAAAATTTATCGCCATCTATATAAGAAAATATTTAAATCTACACTCAATTGTAGTAAACTAAAGAATAAACTTTATATTTCTTTAGAATCTTATTGTTGACTGTACTAAATATGCTGTTTTCAAATATTATTATAGTGTTTGAATATGTAATTCATACATTCATTTGACCTAAAATTATTCAGTAAATTGCATCTACCTTGTGTTTACTATTAACTACATAGAATGACTTTGTAAAAACAGTATTTATAAACATGTTTTCAATTCAATTTATTTTTGTTCATGTTTTGACTAAGATTGTGCCTCTTTTTACCAATTGCTTTAACTTTGCATGCTGGAATAACATGAGAATTATTATCACAGTTTTCTTTATCACCAGATTTCTTTACACTTGATTCAGTTTTTCTACGCTTGACTGATTCAACTTGTACACGAATTTTAGCACCACTCTTTATGCGCCCAAGTAGGTCCGAATTACGATTCACATTATAGAGAAAGGATATTAACACTGGGATAGACTTAGCTTTTGCTGCATTGTATCTCTCAGCCAATTTCTCAAGGGCTGCTCGAAGTTGTGGTCTACAATGTTCGTAATCATCCTTCATTGTTTTAAGAAATGTATCGAAGAACTCTGGATTATATCTTTATTTAATAAAAAAAGGGTTATATAGACAATTTTTTAATCACAAATCTAAAAGTACTTGTATAAAACCAAAAAAAAAACCTACATATCAGTTGCTACATTTGCATTTGCATTCACTTTTACATTTATATTTACATTTGTATCTACATTCACATCTGCATCCACATTCGCATGATTATACCTTTTATTAAATAAAAAAAAAATTATATAAACAATTCTATAATTACAAATCTATAATAATTGTATAAAACTCAAAAAAAACTACTCATTTGCATTTACATCTGTATTCACATTCGGATTTACATTCACACTTGCATTATTCACATCTGCATTCGCATTCAGATCTATATTCAAACTTGTATTCACATTCGTATTCACGTTCACATTCATATCCACATTCGCATCCATATTCGCATCCGCATCAGTTACAATCTGATTTGTATTCATATTGGTTACTAATATTCTATTTGTATTCAATTCTTCCTGGTTATTATTCTTGTGAGCATGTAATGATGCATAAAAAGAACTATCTGCCATGATTCCTTAATTATAATATTTGCAATAAATATTAATTTAAAAATATTTTTTAAATTAAAATTTAAATTATTGCCACTTACTACACGCAATATATGCAAAACAAGCACGATCGTTAGGTGATAGAGATGGAAAAAAATTTAGGGACCCTATATTATATTTTGTAGCCACTGCACCTTGATATTTACATGGTGCTCCAGAAAGCCCGATGAAGCATGTACATGTACAGAATTCTGTATTAACAATATAAAAAAATTCAGTTCCTTTTTTTTGACTTGGAACTAAGTACTCTGTA